TGGCCAGGCTGGTCTTGAACTTCTGACCACAGGCAATCCACCCACCTCAGCCTCCCAAAGTGCTAGGATTACAGGTGTAAGCCACTGTGCGCAGCCCCCTTTCCCATCATTTCTTAATCTTAACATTTACACCTAAATCACTCCATTCATACACTTAATGACATGAACTACTCTTTCATTAATGAATATTTCATTTTTTATTGCTTTAGCAACTACTTTATGAACAACTGAAAATATCTGGTAGTTCCCAAAAATAATGCTACACTGTGTAAATCCAACAACTAGAATAATTCCATCTTAAAAAAAATTATATTTAAAATATATCGACTAAATGTGTATCAATTTGAAAAAGTCCTTATTTTAGTTATAATCTCAAAATCAACACAGCTCACATTTATTGGGCAACCACTATGTGTTACATATTGTTCTAAGCACGGACCTAGCAAGCTTAAAAAACAAAAAACAAACAGACAAAAAAAACCAGCCCTTTCCCTGCTGTAGTCTAATGAAGATAACAACTATAAACAGGTACTATGTGCTATAACCATGGTACACTAAAGTACCCTGGAAACTTGTTAACTCTCTCTGTGAATTCAGAGATGTGGCTTTGAGTAGGGACTTGAAGCTTCTTACTTCTAATTGCATAGTGTGACAGGGTCTGATTCTGCAGATCTAAGCTTCTAACTGAGTCTAAATCTCAATTTTGGGGGGCAATTTTAAAAAGGTGAGTGATATATAGTTAAGCCTGTAGGATTAGTACTATGAGAAACTGGAGGGATGACATTAATATTAACATAAGCTAATATTATTCATGTCTCAGGATCTTCACACAGGATTTCCTCCTTTACTTTTTTCAAGCTCGCATCAAGATTTCATCACCACATTCTTCATTCTCATGTCTCAGACATTATTCTTTCTGATATATATCACGCAATCCTCCTCCTTCTACTCTGAGTTCTCCTAGATGAGGTTGTTTCCATATATGCTGACATTCTCATTATGACAGTGATCTAGCCCTCCCCATTCTGGCTACCTCTGCCATTAGATCACTATCTCCTTTTTAAATACCCACTGCTATTTGTATTTGTTTATTTCCCACACACAATGCATGATATGGTCATTCTGGTAATACTTTATTCCTATTGTCTGGTTATATGGGATTTCTTTTTTATATTCACTCACATTTTCTTCTATAATTTATAAATATCTACATGTTTTATCCCTAACTTCTCCAGGTGATTGTTAATTAACTGGAAATGTAGCAATCTTTAGTTATTTCTTATAAAATCTCAATTTTCTGGCCCTAAATTTCCCATTGGCTAAATATTTATTTCTTCAAGAAGACTGCAGAACTATATACAAATCTGTCTTCTACGTTCAACATACTTTTGTATTTAGTAAGAGGCAATAAAGGTGAAATACAAAAGCAAGGAACAGGACTTGTTCCCACTGTCTTTGTTTAAAATGTCTTCTAACTAGGATTAGGATGGTGTGTGGCCAACTTGGCTACATCTAAAGTAGCGGCTCACCTGACTTGCGCCCTCTGGTGGTAAGAAAATACCCTCATGTTGTGGGAGAGCATCAACACCCACCACACCTAGAGGCTTGAGTACCTCCTTGCTTCTGTCTTGTTTATTTTATATAGGCTTGAGTCTTCCTTGTCCCGCTCTTCCTTTATTTTCCTTTTCTTTTTCTTTTCCTGTCTTCTTTTTAAATATCTGGACTCAGTGCTGATTTAGGTCTTTACAAATGAAGCTAGAGGATAAACTCAAGGAGGACAACAGTGTTGGCATTATGGTGTAAGCTTTGACTTAGTCACAAGAGAATATCAGTGTTTCTTTCAAGTGGATTGTGACCACCCATGTGCCATTTGTCATAATAATAAAACAAACCATGAGTAGGAAGGCATGCTGAGAGATTTTCCTCCACTAGCATAAAATATTCATTCAATATTATATTTGATAAATGTTATCTAAGGGTAATTGTCAAATATTCTGTACAAGTTGTTAACATTAGTCAAATAATACCTTTTAAGGATAATGTGAACTTCATTCTACCTAAGGTTAGAAATGGACAAAGATGAGCATTCAAATTCCTCTTTACTCAACAAATTCTGTGTTTTGTGTGTAAATACAAGTGTCTCTAAAAAGAAATCGGTATAATATTTATCTGCCATGAAGGTATCAGTAGCTGAAACACTATTTCACTTAATGTTGATCTGTGGTCTGAAAAAGTTTACTAATTCTCTAAACATGCCTGACTTCTGTCAATGCAGTTCAAAAATTTGCATTTTGATATCACCCAAATATAATTTCTCAGAAAAAGAGGAAATGTGGTATGGTTATCTGTACCAGCTTACTGATTTTTTTTTTTTTCTGAGAAAAAGAACATTTCTATTTTTACTCTATGAGGAGCCAATTACTGTTCCTGCAGTCATGTATACATTCTAGGTTCCAGAAAAGGGCCTACAGAAGAATCAGATATTTTATTAAATTTGATTGAAACTATGTTTTCAAATACAAAACAAATTACAGCAAAATCTAGATCCATTAAATGAAATTTTAATACCTTTCCTCTCTGTTTCTACTTTCACATCCCTAGAGTCAGTTCTTGACACAACTGCAGACATAAGGTCTGACACGTTTTAAAGGTGTGATCACTCCTTTAAAACCTAAGTCAGACCATGTTGATCTGCTGTCAGTCGTTCTTGGCTTATATCAAAATCCTAACCATGGCCAACAACGTCCTACATGAGCTAACCCTGGCTACCTTCCCAACATTTCCTGCTAGTATCCTCATAATTTATTAATATTTAAGTGAAATCAGAGTAATATAATAAATCCTCAAAGACCTGTGTTCTGGAACACATCAAGCATGCTCCTGCTTAAGGACTTTGGTATGTGCTGTTCCCTCTGCTCGGAATGCTCTTCCCCAGGAATGGTTCTTGATTTGTGCCTTTACTTCATACAGATCTGCTTCTGTCTGTATCTTCATGGCAAGCAGAATCCACCACATACAGTAATGAAATAATTTTTACACATATATATTCAAGGTAAGAGAAAAACAAAAGCTGTTGCCACTCTTAGAGATTAGAAACTGGAGGAAGTTTGTACCATTCCTAGATCTGTAGGGGTAAGGGAGGAAACAGTGTTACTGCAGCCCGGTGAGAGCCTTAGCTGTTGGGGAAAGGATGCTGAGCAAAAGCTATCGATGCAGGAGAAAGGAGAAAGAGAGTAAAAGAAGAAGAGAGTAGAGAAGAAACACCATGACTTGACGTTTCTCTTATTCTCCTTCAGATATCCTACTAGTGCCAAACCTTGTTGGGAGCCAGTGTCAAAGGAACACAGGTGAGTCCATCTTCATTAGTCAGCCTCTCAGGGCCAGACCAGGACAGGGAAAGGCAAACACTGGGGTTGGTGGACAAATGGAGAATGGCCAGGAGAAGAACTCTACTCAAAAGGTCACCTCTCAAAAAAGATCTTCACCAATCAATCTAAAACAGTATCCCCAAAACAGTATTTCTTCAACCAATTTCATTATAGCACTTATCATTATCTGATATTATATTTTACTGTTTATTGGCTCTCTCTCCCACTAAGATGTAAGTTCTACGAGGGCTAGCACTTCATCATTTGTATTCATTGTTATATTCCTAAAATTTAAAACAGATACTGCTGCATAGGAAGGGTCCAATATTTATTGAATGAATGAATGAATTTAGTACTATCTCTGCTATTCAACAGTACACGTTTAATTAAAATCAGAGCACGTGATAAACTCTCAAATATCTGTAAGTGAATTATCCATACACAAGCCCCATATTCCAGCCTTTTCTATGTTCTAAAATATCTTTCTTGTTAACTTACCCTGTATGAAAACACAAATAAATTTAAATAAATTTAATCTTATGAAATATAAGTATACATATACATATATTTCATAAAACTTTCTTTTACATATTAAAATAGAGAAAGAGTTTCATCATTGAAGGAAGCATTAAAATGCAATGAACTCAACCTAGTACTCAGTACATAGACATTATCTACAATGGTCCTTTAAATGGTAGGGAGTAAAGAAAGAAGTAATTCCTTCTCCAAAGAACATATGTTCAAAATAATTACAACTGTTTACATGCATTTTTAGCTATGTTGTTACATTTATTGAAATATTTTGATAATGTTGAAAGGGGATGATTTTTTTGTCAACCAAAATGGGGCAAAATCCAATAAACGTTGGCAAATAATGCTCTATGAAATCCCACTTATGTTTTTATCTATTTTGCTAATACTGCAGAGAAAAGGAACTTACTATCTCAAGAACTGGTGACTTTGAGGAAGCTTTTATTATTATAAAAGTTTGGGCTTGGGCTTTTTCTTTATGTTAAAAAAAAAAATGTTGTTGTATCTCTTTAGGTAATACTTTCTTTCTTCCAGACCAAACATCCTCAGCTCATCAGACCAAATTTCATGTCATCTTTTTTGGAAAGATTCTTATCCCAGATACTCTCCTTTGGACATGGTCTCATCCATCAACTTTTCTCCTAAAGTCTAGACTTCAGAACATAATTCTTCGGCCTGACTGTGTTTAGGGCAGCATAGTGACTATCTGTTCCCCTCACCTGAACATTCTATGTTCCTTGATACAACTTGAAAGTACCAGTTTTATTGTTCTCCATAGCTATAATGTATTATTTACCTGCACCAACCTTTTTCTGTAAATGCTGTTAAACCATGTTTGTCAAAGCAATTAGCAAAGTGCACATTGTTCTTGTGCTTAATCTGTCATCCCAAAAGCTGTTTGGGTTTTCCATAATGAAGTAATAAATGCTAACATAGGCACAATGGACTGAAACAATGATTGCCAAGAGACAGAATCTAATCAACAGAAGTTAGTCATACATACACCTAACTCTCTCAAAAAGCTTTCAAACATGTCAGCATTTAGGACAGGAATTATTCTGCTGATGACATTCCAAAAAATAACAGTCACTAAGGACTTACCTGCAGCAACTATGATAATATCTGCCAGCTGCGTATGAATCTTCAGTTGTTCTTTGGGGGTGTATCTGTGAGCTATTGTCACAGTTGCATCACCTGGAATACAGAAAAATTTCTATCAATGATTACTGAACTTTTAAAAATTTTACAAATGCTCTAAACCTACAAGAGTTTCACTTATTTCCTAAGAGTAGAAAAGCTACTTTGACATGACTAAATCACATTGAGCACAAAAGCTAGACCAGAAAACCAAGAGGAACCAAAATATTGTACCCTTCAATTAAATGAAAGGAAAATCAAATGAGACCAAATCAGGGTAAGTGCCAATCATCATCGGAGAGCTATGAGTAGAGTCCCTGAAACAAAGAGTTTGAAAATTCTGTGTTGACTGGTTAATACATTAGGATACGGGATACTCACTGTCTTCATAATGACAGGCAAACAAATACTAAAAGCAACAAGATAAGTGAACAAAAAATGGGACAATATATTATGGGAGCATAACTGAGAGATTAATTCTGTCTTGAAAAGGTGTCTGGGAAGGATTCCTAAAGGAGGAAATACATTTTTTAGGTCTCAATGCATGAGCAGAAGTATTCCAATCAGGTAAGGAAGAAAAAGGCATTCCAAGCTAAAGAATAGTAGGAAAAAACTAACCAACTTTGAAAGTGGGTATCTAGAATATAGCGAAATTTTTTGTCATAGGTTAAGGTACATCACAGGAAGTTTTTATATGAAAACCTTAGGGAAGTGATGAATGAACAAGAGAGGCAAGAGACTCCAATATTTAAAGTGTGAGCCATGAAAGGGGAGTGAAGGAAAGTTGGTGGTAAAGAGCAGTCAAGAGGACTTCTGGTAAGAATGTGGCGAAGACTGCATCTTGTCTTCTGGAAGATGTGCAAATGCTACAGTTAACCAAAACAAGAAAAGTTACATGATCACCACTTTTAGAAAAACCAGAAGACCTAATTTCTACAGACTCCAAAAACATGTTGAGAGTTACCAAAAGCAGCAATTAGTAGATACCACAGGGAGAAAGGCATCTAAGAAATGAGGAGAATGACAACAAGGCCGGCAGTGGCATATCTCTGAAATTGACTGCAAAAATACACTTCTATGAAAAGTTTATCCCAAAGTGCAAAAAAATATAGCTTTCCTAATTGGGGCAGTGAGAAAAGAAATAAAGACAGAAGAGACTTCCGGGACCCAGTATAGTTTAGAGTGGGTGGGAACACATTTACATAGAGGGGCTATTTTAGAAGAAAGCAATCTGACTCTGTGGAAGTAATAAAGGAGTCAGAAGGCTGCACAGGACCTCCTCTAACCCCCAGCAGAAGTGTCCTGTAAATAGTAGATCTAAAAACAATCCAACTCATTCAATGATGAGTAATAAAAATGGATGTGACACAGCATCAACAAAAGGATAGTATGTAAGGGCAAACCCAGGGGAATTTGGGGCGTGATGAAGCTGTTCTGATTCTAGTGGTGTTAGACTAATTAATTTAATAGATGACTATATGCATTTGTCTAAATTAATGAAACTGCACACCAAAAAGAGTAAATTTTACCATATGCAAATTTTTAAAAATTCAATAAAAAGATACATTTAAAAAGTGTCAGAACCAAGACAAAAGGCAAAATAAAGATAAAAAAAATTAAGAACTTAGCAATGTACCAATAAACTCAAAAAAATGTCATGAAAAAGTTGAACATTATGACCAAATATTATACAAAAATATTTATTTATTTTTATGTGTTTTTAACTTTTATTTTAAGTTCAAGGGTACATGTGCAGGTTGGCTATATAGGTAAGCTCATGTCACGAGGGTTTATTGTACAGATTATTTCATCACTAAAGTATGAAGCCTAGTACCCATTAATTAGTTTTCCTAATTCCCTCCCTCCTCCCAACCTCCACCTACCAGTAAGCCTCAGTGTCTGTTGTTCCCCTCTCTGGGTCCATCTGCCCTCATCATTTAGCTCCTACTTATAAGTGACAGCATGCAGTATTTGGATTTCTGTTCCTGCATTAATTTGCTAAACATAATGGCCATCCACGTTCCTGTAAAGGATGTGATCTCATTCTTTTTTTATGGCTGCATAGTGTTCCATGGTGTGTGTGTGTGTGTATGTGTGTAGTGTGTGTGTATATATACACACACACCACATTTTCTTTATCTAGTCTACCATTAATGGGCATTTAGGTTGATTTCATGTCTTTGTGACTGTGAATAGTGCTGCAATGAATGTGTGCATGTGTCTATGATAGAACAATTTATATTCCTTTGGGTGTATGCCCAGGAATGGGATTGCTGGGTCCAATAGTAGTTCTGTTTTTAGGTTTCTAAAGAATTACCCTGCTGTTTTCCACAATGGTTGAACTAATTTACACTCCCACCAATGGTGTATAAACATTCTTTTTCTTCCACGACCTCGCCAGAATCTGTTATTTTTTAACTTTTTAAATAATAGTCATTCTGATTGGTGCGAGAAGATGGCATCTCATTGTGTATCTACAAGTGATTCATGTAAAAAAATGATAGTAAAGGATTTTATAGCCAGTCAAATCTGCCTCCAAGATTAAAAGTTGCAAACAATTTTGAAAATGCAAGAACTCAGGAAATATTGTTCCCATAAGTATTTCCTAAGGAACATGCTAAAAGACACAGTTTACTTAATCAAAATATGTCTGAGGAAACTAGCAAAAGGACTGCTAAAAGTTTTGATTATAATTATAGGACCAAGACTTTAAAAAAGTGTGAGGATTGGGGTGACAAACTGCTATGGTTTGAATGTTTGTCCTCTCCCAAACTCATGTTGAAATGGAATTGCAATCTAACAACATTAAGAGGTGAAACCTTTAAGAGGTGATTAGGACACCAGTCCTCTGCCCTCATGAATGGATTCATGCTGTTATTGCAGGAGTGGGTTCCTTCTAAATGAACAAGTTCAGCCCACTTCTGTCTTGCTCTTGCCCTCTCTTTCCATTCTGCCTTCCATCATGAGATGATGCAGTAAGAAGGCCCTCACCAGATGCTGGCACCTTGATCTTGGACTTTCAACCTCTGTAACTGTTCAGAAATAAATTTCTATTCTTCATAAATTACCCAGTCTATGATAATCTGCTATGGCAGAACAAAACAGACTAAAACGCAGACAAATGTAAATGGTCTTTGCTTTCACTATGCAGAAATAATGCAACTAACAAAATTAGACTGAGAAAGGGCAAAGATGAGAAAGTTTGTTGATTCCCTAATATATAATAATAGGAATCAACAAATGTTTAAAAGCTGACCAACCAGATAATAAAAGTATAAGAATATTTAAAAGTATAAAGTAAAAAATTAAAAAAATATATTTTCAAATAATTTTTATGCCAAATAGCAGGTCAGAGACAAAAGAAATGTAATGAGGGGAGAAAATAAAAAATTTTATCATTTATTTATTTTACTAGAGTATCAGTAGCCACCCTATAAATAAATAGAGAATTAAGAGTACTATATAATGTTGTAATTATTAAGGTAAGGAAAACCTTCTTAAATATTTTTTAAATGCACAAAGAAAAAAAAATGTAAAAAAAAAAAACAAACAGAACAGAAAATAATAATAGTTGTACCATATATATTTATCATAAAAACAAATATACATTTCCCTAAGTCATTTATGTAAAAGAACAATATTTTCAAATTGACTTACAAAGCCAAATCTAATTATATGTTTTGCTAATTCTATACAATATATATTATACACATAAAACAAAGTTATTCAGAATTCAGAAATGTTGAAAGCAAACATGTAGCAGGAAAATGCCAAAAAATAATGCTTTTTGTCAAACAAAAAGTCAGCACTAAATAAAACAAAGAGGCACACATTACAAAGTAAAAGAGTGATTCAAATAAAGATAGAAAAATAATAAATACATAAGAAAAAGAAATAGAATTCTTATAAGCAGAAATTACAGGAGATACATACAGAAACAAAATATATTGTATTTGTTTAATTTATTTTTGAATAACTTTCTCAGTTCATGACAGATCAAGGATACAGAAAATGTCAATAACTTAACTAATGATAGATATATGACTATATCAAACTCACAAAATAATACATTTTCTTCTCATGCAAATGGTATAAACTTGGTTACAAAGAAAATTTAATACCAAAAAGTAATAATTAGATAGACTATAATTTTATTTGATTACAACTCAACAAAATTATAATTATTGACAAAATCAGAAAAAAAATCCTTCATAAAGAGACCCTTCTATTGGAAGTTTTTAAAAATTCTATTTTAAATAATTATTGGGTCAAAATTAAAAAAATTGCAAAAGTTTTAGAAAGATTTGTAATGAAGACATTTCATATTAGATCCTATAAAATAAATATAGAAATAAATATGTTAAAAAAATTGTGGACAAATTATTATATCAATAAAACAGAAATAATAAAATGAATCATTTAACTTCAGAAATTAAAGAACAATAAACAAATGAAACTAGAAAAAAACTATAAAAGTTAAAATGTATTTGATAAATCTAAAAAACTAGACTACTATAAGAAACATTGAGATAATTCTATAAATTAATCAAGTAAAAATCAAATATACAGAAGTAAATCGCTTTCATATATAACATCTTAGAAAATACATTGTAAGAAAAGGCCCCATTATAATAGCAGTACAAAAGGTAAAATACTTAAAATAAGCTTAACAAAAAATGTGCAAAATCCATGTAGTAAAAGAAAATCTCCAGAATAATACCAAAATAAGACCAAGAAACTAGAAAGATAAACCACGTCCTTGGATGGGAATGTTTAATATCATAAAGATTAGAATTCTACCTATAGTCATTACAAATATAATTAAAGTCCAATAAAAGTGGACTTTTGGAAGTAGGTAATTTGATACTAAGTTTAATATGGAAAAATAAAAGATAATCAGGAAAACTTTGAAAAGGAAGAACAATGAGAGGCAACTAGCAGCCTTTTTTATTTTAGTTGGTACCACCTTCTGCCCAGTTATTTACAGTAAAATTCTAAAAGTCTCCTTGGTTATTCTCTTTCTTTCACTCACTATAAACCATCAAGAATGTCGAGTA